AAGGGAAAATGAGTGACCTCAGGGATATGGGAAAGGAATTTGGAAGAGATTGAATATTTCAGGAGTTAGTAGTTCCTGTAGTGTTTCCTACAGATCCCTTTTTTACTCAGATACATTCCTCAATTCTTACAGTGAGGTTACTGCATCATTATTTACCTCCTGGTGTAAAAGCTGTACCCAAACTCTCCCTTGTGTGGCTTCACCAGTGTTTGTTGAGTTACCCAGGGGGATCAGTTTGCAAACCACTAGAGGTATCTCAGAAGTTTGAGCTAAGAATGGGAATAGGTGAGATTTCCACAGCTGATGTGCACAGTTAAAAACTCCAGTTACACTCTGCACTGACACAGGTGAGGACAGGGCAGGTGCAGAGGGCAGGCAGCTGTCACTGACATCCCCACACAAATGCCTCTGGACCATGTGGCACTGACCCTTTGGCACATGCCACCTTTCTGAGGCAGGCTTTCTGCAGAGTCTCCTAAAGTCTAGGTATGGCCATCATCCTCAGTCTTCATGCTTTGGGGTTGAGCTATTCAAAATTGGTTCAAAGACTTACAATAACAAAATGTAATGGGTGTAAAACACTTGTCTGGACTTGTGTCAGGTGAGGAAACAGAATTTGCTTGTGCCATCTTGCTTTACAGCTCTTTGACTTCCACATGCAGAGCCACACCACCATTTCTGTAGCTTCTGTAAATTCTCCTGTATACAGATACATGTACAGTGCTTTACACAAACACAGGGAAGATTCCAAGGATGCTTCATTGAAAAGCATCAGTCATGCAGATTGACACCACCTGAGGGGTTTGTCCATAGAGGATAGAGATTTATTTTGACAATAGTGCTTGTCAGGATTGAATAACATTAGGGCATACTTTTATTCCTTTTTCTTTTAAACATCTTTATGATATTTCCCTTATGCTCTAATACAGCTACATGCTGTGGAAGATATTCAGTAGCATATTCTGTGAATAAGCCAGACTGGAGAACTTGCATGACCACAAATTGTACTGATTGTATTGTTCTGCCAACTCTAGGCAGAGAAAAATTATTATACAAGTTCTGCTGGTGCTGATACCATGTTTATGAGACAATAAAAGTTGGCTCTTCTGAAGGCTAAGTAAAAAAAAAAAAAAAGTAAATATGAATACAGGACTCCAACTGAAGAGGAGAGAGCTCATATGAATGGCCCTGGACACTACACTCCTGCTGGTGGGTGACCAGGTTCTCAAAAGAAATTGAGATTTTTAAACAAAGTTATTGTAGTCAGTGAAAATCACTCGATGAAAAGCAATTCTGTGGGATCCAGGAAACTCTTGGGTGAAATAACATTTTGTTGTCTGTGTCAAAAAAGTCAATTCCTTAAAAATATCTCAAAGTCAAATAAGCAGATGATTGGATTCATTCTACTCCCTCTGGCACCTAACCCAACTAGCATGAACCAATTTTTTCATTTATCAAAACAGCTTCTCCTTCCCAATTACTGTGATCTGTATCAAAGATTACTGCCATATCTGCTGTCTTTTACCTTTATTCCAGTTATTGCATTGCTAATAGGTGCTGTACACACAGTGGAGGGCAGTTTTTCCGCTGAGAACCTGTGTTCAAACAGACATGGCAGCTGACTGGCTGGAGAGGCAAAGAGCTGTCCCTTCCCTGCCAGCCTGAGCAAGCAGAGCCAGAGGAAGCCCCACATACCCAGAGCAGGGTCTGTGCTCTCCCTTGGTGCTGCTCACAACGCTGGCCATTAAGCATACGGCAAAACTCTTCATGCTAGAAAATCATCAGCAGTGGATTAGAATAAAGAATCATTTTCTGAACAGACCTGGAATTCTGTCTGCTTTTGAGGAGTCCTGGTCTCAAAGAGGAACATGAATATATGAAACAGTTGCATGTTTACATTTTTAGCTTTCATGCTGTAAAAACCTGACATGCGTAGTCTGCTTTTTTTTATTTGGTGAGAATTGCTGTAATATTTGAGTCTGCAGTGGTCTATTGAAAACAGACCCCTGACTAGGAAATAGAGAGTTTAGATGTTATAAACTGCTAGTAATTTATTATTTTGAGATTGGCATATATTTTGGCGAAGTTTAAGTTGGCTGGAGTGATAGTGAGTGATGAAAGATGTTATGGCGGTTGAGAAGTGGCTGAATTCCTTTGTTTCCAGACTTTTCACTTTTTTTTAAGGCGCAGAATGTTTATGTAGAAAGTGTAATATTGTTTTATGGGTATTTGCTGGACCCTGCTAAAACCAAGCACTCAAGCTTTACTCTTTTAACAAAGTGTTTTGTTATGGAATTCCTCTGGGTTTTGATGTTTCTAAATTAGGGTTAAATCAGGTTGGTATGTGGGGGCCATGGGAGAGCAGGCCAGAAGTGACAAACTGTCTGATGTCCAGCAGGGTGTGCTTCCACTCCAGGAGGTGATGTGGTGGCAGGAAAAGAGGACTCCTCAACTGGGCATGAAGGAGCCATAACATAAGGACACAAAAAAGGGGAAGAGGGGATTTTAAACACTGGGAAAGTTGTCAGCATTTTAAGAGTTGGAGATTTTCAGTGCAAGACCCTGCCTGCCCCACGGCTGCTGTCTGGTCCACCAGAGCCTGCATGCTTCCCATGTTTTATTTCCATCGTCTGGAGCAGGAGCACTTTCAGTCCCATGGTTATAAATTATCATTCTTCCTTCCCAGTCATCTCTATTTTTCCCTCCAAGACTGTGGTACTTGATGAGCCATGATACACTCAGGAAACAAATTCTTGTTTCTGATATTTCTCTGCCCATTTCCTCTGCATTTATCTCCTCCAAGTCGGCTGCTCATAAAACTCATTGGCTTTCTGCCTTCAGCTTGGCTCACTAAACCCTGGAGTCAGTCCCCAGCCTTTTTGTTTTTACAATAAAGGACAGAGCTCTGAGCCACAGCATCCTGAGATGTTGTAGCAGCAGAGAGAAAATCTTTAAACCATTAAGAAACGGAAGCTGCTAAACTCAGTGTTTCATTGCTGAGAGCATCAGGGCTTCCTTCAAGCTGAGTACAAGGAAAAAGAGCAGAGTTTCTACTAATTCACAAATCTTACTAGGAACAAGAGTCAGTTTTCTGATTGTATCATGCAGTCCATGTTGTAATAACTTTCCAAGTCCATGTTCTCCCATTAAATACTCCACTTTAATGAAGACCCCACATTGCTACTCTGCTCTGTGCTCACATTATCGTCTTTGTAAACCTCTCCCAAGTAGCACTGAGCACTTCCAGTTCTCAAAAGACAAGCAAAGGCTATCCTTCCTGTCCTAGCAATGCTAGAGAGCCAAAAAGCCAGTAAGGAAAAGCAAAGTAAGGAGCTTATTTCAAACAGATTTCAGAACAAGGCAAATAAACCCTCATCCCTATTAAAATAAAAGACCAAAGTGCCAGTGGCTTCAACACACATTATACCTTCCAACTATACAATTTTTAATTTTTTTTTCAAACTATTAAACATATGTATAGATTTAGCTTAGCACTGAGAGGCCTCAGCTGGAATTCTTTTCACAGTTTTGGGCACTGTGCTTCAAAAAAGATGTGAACCAACTGGAGAGAATCCAGATGAGAGCAACAAGAATGATCAAAGGCCCAGAAAATGTGATGTATGAGGAAAGACCAAAAGAATTGGGTTTGTTTAGACTAGAGAAGAACAGTCTGGAGGGAGACATGACAACAGTCTTCAGACACGTTAGGCTGCTGCAAAGGGGAAGATAAACTGTTCTCAATTTCTACTGGAAGTAGGCTAAAAGGCAACAGATTACATTGGAGATTCAGATTAGACTTTAGAAGAAGATTACAATGGAGATTCAGATTAGACTTTAGAAGAAACTTTTTTTTTTTTTGGCTACAGCAGTTATACCTGAGAAGACAATGCCCATGAAAACTGTGGAAGCCCACTGTTTGAGATTGGGGTACTGGTATACTCTGGTCTGCATGAATAAGACTGCTCCTAGTCCTTTTCAGCTTTTTTCCCCCCATGTTAGAAGTGTAGGAGAGAGATTGCGAGTGGAAAAAAAATATTTTCTGAAGGAATACGGACAGGTCTGACCTGAGTGGTCTTTGAACAGGAGATTAATTGCAGCCATACCTACAGAGTTAGTAATACTACCTTGTAGCCGTTACACGCTGTTTGCATCTATCACACTCAGGAAAACAGGGAAAAATAAAATTCTGATCCTTATCTGCTCTAAAGTCTCTACTTATGCTGGATACTATTCTGGAAGTGGAGGCCTGTGTCAAAAATCTTGAGTGTAAATAAGCATAAAATCCTAAATGTTGTAAAGCACACCATCCAGTGATAGATTTCTATGAACTCTGTTATATAGAAAGATTTAATACAGAAAGGAACCCAAACAGGTGACACTTTGTCAGAAAGCAAAAGATTACATAGTACAACATGTTTTTTGGAATGAATTTACAATTAATTTTAACTATAAAATAGAATGAAAAAAACCAGGTGAAACTAAGACAAATGCAGGGTGAATTGAAACAAAGTGCCTGACTGATAATTCCAGAGATATTTGGGAATGCAAACTGGGACTCCTGAGGTCCCTTGTTTCAATAGGTGGGGGTTTTGTTTCTGTTTCTGCTTGTTTTTCTGCTTTTCATTTATAATGAAAAAATTTTTTTAAAAAGGCAAGATTGCAAAAGCCAGCTTTTTCCTCAGTTTTTTGGTGCTTTCTGCTAAGCAGCCTTGGAGCTACAAAGGTTCACAGTCTTTCACATAGACTCATGCCCTAGAAGTGTTTACAGTGAGAAGAGTCCTTAAAATACATGACCACACAGACAATCACATGGGATCTTCAGCTGTTTGCATCCTGCTCTGGACTGAGCATGAAGAGGCCTCTAGACACACATGGGTCACAGCTCTGTGGAAATGGTGATTTGGTCTGGAGCTTCTATAGTACTGGCTTTTCAGGAGAGAGTTGTGCAGAGGAGGAGCTGTCTCTTTTGGCTTAGTGTTTCCAGGGCACAGACTGGAGGTTTAGAAGGAGTACTGTGACACAAATATCCTCAGCCGGATGACAGAGCTGCCTCTGAAGTTGATGACGGTGTTTACAGTGATCATTTCCAAGTCCAGCTCGATCGTGCGCGGCCCCTTCACGGGCCGGGTCATCACCAGGGTGGCACTGATGGGTCCTGTTTGCTGTGCACGAAACAAGAGAAAGCAGGTGAGATTGCCAAAACTAGTTCTTCAAAACCACTGTCCCACTAGTCTTCAAGCAGCTAAAATAGGTGTTTTCTGTTTCATTGTTTGAAACCACTGCAACTGAAGGGACAGAGTTTCATTGCAGCATTTGGCTTCTTTTCAGTGTGAACTGTCACCTTCTACAGTTTGTAAAGCCTTTGGGAGCCCTGCACATTAAAGGAGCTATTGAACATAGACACTTGCTATTGCCCAAAAGAGAAAAAAATGAAAACATGGATTTAGGGTATAAACAAATAATGATAAATGTTTGTTTGTTTGTTTGTTTGTTTGTTTCTTTCTTTCTTTCTCTCTTTCTTTCTTTCTTTCTGTCTTTGTAGTACTCTTTAGTTTGATGTAAAGTTACTGTGAAGAAGCAGAGACCCAGAAGGGCTTTTTTTAAAGAACCTGGAGAGCAGGTATTCCCATGTGAATGGGGTTTGGGTTTGTGGTACATTGTGTCTGTTAATTGTACAAACCTTACACTTTGAATATGCAAAGGCACTTCAGAAAACAAGTCCTTTATTAAATGGAAGCAGACCTTGGTGATATCTGACCAGAACAGAGAATTATGTGCATTTAAAAATCAGATCTGCTAATGTTAAAACCAACTGCAGTTTGTTTTCCATCAGGAGCTTACAGAGGCACAGTGGGTCCTGCTTTACCTGTCCACTTCTACCTCAAGACTGGGTGTTTGTTACCTTTGATCAGAGAAGGCTGACACAGCCATGAGGAGGTGCTGGGCATGTTGCCTGGTCTGTGCCAGGCTGGGTCCTGGTGCCTCAGCAAGGGCACAGTGTCCTTCCCATGCCCTCCCAGTGCCCAGCGAATGGCTGCATGGTCAATCAGTGGAGTAGCAGGCTTGGGCAATGGGAGTGGGTGCTGAGGCCTCAGCACCTGCTAGATTGGCTCAGATGAGGGAATCAGTAAGGGCTTTGCAACAGAAAAGCTGTTGTGAGATGTAAATCATTATAACGGGACCGCTTGTCAATTCAGGATTTTGAAACATTTTCATTTTCTTACAGTGGGAATCTGAGGTTCTTGTGAGAAATATGTCCTGGAATCTATCCCACTATCCCTGTCCACGAGGGATGGGAACCTTCAGTAGCCACAGAACAGGACTTAATGTGAATGTCAGAGCCAGGTTTTGCCTGGAGCTGAAAATCAACCTCCTGAGAGTCACCGTCCCTTGTGGATGTGCCCCATTCTCTGCAGACAGACACCCCTGTAATCTCTGCATGCTGGTGGTGTGGCAAAGATGACTGGGGAACACAGAGATCTTCTGAGGAAAACAAATTTAAAAACCTCAGGTAATTACATTTTCTCTAACAGTGTCTACAAAAAATATATGTTCTCAGTGGAAAAAAATCATAACAAATGAAAGCAAAGAACTCAGAAGGTAAATTGGTGGCATTAGGGAGTAGGTTTTTTGCTTACTTTTTTGGTTTTCACGTTTTTCAATTTCCAATGAAAAGGTTTAATAAAACAGAAAAGAAACATTGAGTCTTTTGGTGACAGTTTTGATTGTCCATCAAATAAAAAACAGTTTGGCACAATAGTTTCTCTTGAGCTTGGGAAACCTGAGCTATTCTTAGACATGGGTACAGCTCTGGGCTTTCCTAAACCTGCTGTCTCATAGGAGAGGCATGTTTGCTTTGGGTAGGTTACTCTCCTGAGAGATCTAGCAGTTCCTGCACATCCGCACACTGCTCTGCACATCTGTGTGTAAAAAAACGCCTCATACTGAAGGTTTAAGTGGCAGTCACAAGAAACTCAGTTGTGCCACCAGGACATTCAGCCAACAACAAGATGCTCCATGTTTCCCCCAGGGAGCACTGACTTACCCGCATGTAGAATTCCCTGCCCTCGTTCCCTGATTTGATTTGGAAGATGTAATAGGCTCCAGGGTAGCGAGTAGTTGCTTGCATCTGAAAAATATCCGAAGGCACAGACCTCCCAGACACCATGTCCATCACTCTGTACAGGATGGTGAAGGGCTGATCTCGGCACCCAGGGTTTTCAGCTGGACACATGCAGCGGCTGGTGGTCAGAGACAGGATTGTCAGAGATAGAATTATCAGCAGGGGTTACAAATTGCTGTAATATTTGATTATTTATATAAATAAATGTGCATAAATAAATAAACAGACAAACAAATAATGCCGTTGACCAGCTAAAAGAATCAATGAAACTTGTAATGCATTTTCTCACTTTTAGCATTTTCTGTGTTGCTGTTCTGGCTTACGTCCTGCCTCCTTTTTCCTGTCTTCTTGGCAAAAATAATTTGCCATTCTCCTTAGATCACTCAAAAATGTGAACTTCCTTTGAAGCAGCCCTGCACGTGTGGAATACTCTGTACATGTTTGTTCTGATAGTAATTTATACTGAACTGTCCCCAGAATATTATTAGATAATTTCACTGGTAGTACTACATAAACAGTAGTGATTTTTGTTTCGCTATATTTTGTACACTACATGAAAACATACAGTTGACATCCTGGATCAAACCAAAGCTCTAACATCAAATGCAGAGCCTTAAGGAAGAAGAGGATATGACAGGCATACAACATTTCCACCAACAGTCTCCAATTGTTTGTGACTCAGGGAACCCCTGAAACAAAAATTTCTTCTTTCTATTCATCAGCTATCAATGCATTTCTTATCATCAGCTTTTCCAGCTTCCCACATGAATGTTTGGTATGCGCAGCCCCCTGTGGCCAGAAGCCCCACAGCCCCTTTCATCTCTCTTTACATGGCCTCTTTCTGACTTTAGCTGGTGCTCCCAGCTAGCTGCTCACCTGAAAGGAGAGCAGCCAGTCAATCCCTGCTCATCCTCCTCACCCATCTCAGGGCTTCATATCTGACCCTGTTCATGGCTGAACTGCTCTAATTTGGCTGTTACTCACAAGGAAGCTATTCCGTACTTTTGAGCATCCTCATTGCTTCTTATGAACCTTTATCCAGTTGTATTTCTTTTGACAGGAGGGGAAGGAGCTTCACAGTCTTAGAGATGTGGTACACAATAGAGCATGTGCTCCAAGGATATTCTCTACCTATTAACATTTGGAACTCAGATTGCTTTTCTGACCTCTAGTGAGTACTGCAGATCATGGAACAAGAACCCTCAAATCTCAGTTTGCATGGATTATGATCAGATCAGTGGTCCTTATTTAATTTGTGAATTTGGGATTTTCTTTTTACATTAAATTCATCTACACTGAATTTAATCTGCCATTTTCATTGCACAGTCATTGAGGCTTATTCTGTAGTATTTTTCTACCCACTTTTATCTGCTGTCTTCATATATTGTTGCAGACTTTGCCCCTCTCATGGTTTATTCTTTTCCCCAGGTTGTTTATGATGGACCAAGTAGGTCCAGCTCAGAAATTTCCTCTGCAGAAATTAATGAAAGTTGACAATTTAACACTATCCTCTGTTAAATTTTTATCTTTCAGCTTCTCATTCTTCTGTTCCAGGGACTTTTCTCTGTTACTTATGACTGCTTAATTTCCATGATAACTATGTGAGGGTCTTTTCATAAGCCTTTGGAAATGCAAACAGACTGCATCAGTTCCTGTGCCCTAGCCAGATGCTGCTAATTTCTTCAGAGAACTCTAAGGAAGTTGTAAAGCAGGATATCTCTTTATAAAAGTAATGTTGGGAGAATTTACTGGGCAAGGGTCTTTTTAACTATTTTTGATATAACCTCTACTGCTGACATCAATTTCAGACAGTGCATCTGGCATGTCCCCCATCTAGAGGCTCCTGGCATTATGATCACCCAGTTCCTTCCACAGAAAACACAGATGCCAGGAATTCACTTGGCAATTTTACACTGACCACTTCTGGACATATGTCACTAATTAAGAGCAGGCCCATCTAGAGATGAGCCAAAGCCACCAAACACAAGGCTCAGAGATTGTGTTCTGATGAAAGCTGCTCTGCAAGGACTCTGTAGCTGAGCTCTGGGGAATTTAGATACAGAGGATTCTGTTATTTCAAATTCCAGTTTAAGACTCTATCACCTCCCTCACCAAGGGAGGAGAACCCAGAACTAGACAGACACTATGTGTCCACTCTTCAGCTACCCTAGTTCAGAAAACAATGCAAATACACTCATCAGTTCTAAAGGAAAGAAGCTAATTACTAATCTCTTGACTTTCTATGAAATATATTGGGCTACCAAGCAATTCCAGATTATTTGGTTTAGTGCAAACATTGTGTATGAAATAATGTGGCCTGCAGTATATTGACATCTGTCTGGAACTGAAATATTTTGAGCCCCAGCAAATACATACAAATGTGAAAGAAACAGGCTATTTTAAGAAATTTTAGGTTTATTGTTTGCCTGCTCAAATGTTTCCCAGTTGATACAGTGACAGTACTAACAGCCTCATCCAGACATACCCAATTTCTGGGCAAGGTGGGTCAGTCTGTGAACTATTCAGAACTTTTAACCTGTAAGCAATAAGAAACTATTTGTATGCTGGTCTAACTGTCATCTAATATTTTAAAGTACTTCCCAGGCATAAACTAGTTACCATTTGCTGGAAATATTCCTGCTACTAACCAGCTGCATATGAGCATATATGAAGTCAGATATGTAAGTAAATGTCTCTTACTACATCACAAGCCTTGCTGTTTTGTCAACTGATAGCTGTTTTTCCAGTCTAACTTCACATACATCTGAGTATGATATATCGTATCATATCATATCATATCATATCATATCACATCATATCATATCATACCTGGTGACCTGGTAAGCAATTGCAATTTATTATTTTTATAAAGCTTACCAGTGGTAAATTTAGCAACAGTATGTATGTATAGCTGTTTAGAAAGACTTCATGGTTGTAGTGTAAAATTGCAGCTTCTTCGGTTAGACAGAACTTAGATACAACTTTCACAGACAGAATTTGCTTTTGTGGCTGTGGGTATGTTACTCACTTCTCATTAATCTGGAGATAAGGCTCCTCACATCGTACTGGATCTAAACATTTATATTCTCCTGGGATATTGAAACATGTTTGCTGTGAAGTGCAGGTGAAGTTTCTGATTTCACATTCATTGATATCTAAAACACAAGGAATAAGAGAATGGCTGAAGCAGGGAAATATGTACAAGATACCACTCCTACAAGCTGGTTTCCATCTTAAAGTATTACCCCAAAATTCATAAAACTCTTGCACTGTGAGAGGTGGCCTTTTTATAACTGTCTCCTCTTTTAAGGTCAGTTTTTACTCCATTCACTTCTGCTAATTAGAGTGCTCCCACATGCTGAATGCTGGGAAAAAAAAAAAGGGAATTGGCTGCTCAAACTCTCCGACCTTAGAGAATGGGAAAGGTAGAGATGTACAGCAGACAGGAAAGCATTTGAGGTGTTTCCTGTGTAGCTGTTTCCTAGCCAGTAAAGTCTTACTTAAAACAATACACTAGTTCACCTCAGCAGGAATATTCACGTGCTGACATCCTTACCAGAATTGCATAATTGACCCCCGCGAGTATTTCACTGTGCAATGCCAAAGCCAAGCATATCAATTCTTGAAAACCTCTTTCTAGACACAGGATCTACTTTCTGGTCCCCATGGGTTTAATCGGTGCAGAAATGTTACCTTGGCAGCTTCTACTGTCATCAAGCAAGTTATATCCTGAAGGACAGGTACAGTAGTAAGAACCAGGCCCGTTCACACATTCGTGCTGGCAGAGGAACTCTGAGAAGCTGCACTCATCCATGTCTGCAGTGGGAAAACAAAACCCAAAGTTTAGTGTCCTTGGCTTTACTGTCAAAAGAGCAGTCCTGCAGGCAGGTGGCCACTCAGACCAGCTCCCTAGAGCTCTGCAGCAGCCTGACAAAATGCAATACAAGTTCTTCATTAAACACTTTTTTCCTAAGGAAATCAAAGCTGCTGCTGAACACAATGCACGGCTTTTAATTATTTATTTTTCTTTTCTAATACCTGTCACCACTTGGCCATGTTTTTATTCCTGTTTTACGTCAGAGATAGATACTCTGACAACAAAGCTGCAACTGTAATTTAAAAGGAAAGACTTGGCAGCAGTTTTGTTTTCTTTTTTTTCCCCTTCTTTTGGAGAACAAGCTTCAGATTCCCAGGGCTCCAGCCACATGGGTTCCAGCAGAACTCCTGCAGCCAGCCTTGTCTGTTTCATATTTTTTAGCCTCTAGTCAGTTACTTCCAAGTCATTCCAACAAGACTCCTAGAGCACATCCCAGCCTGGGTCAGACACACTGCAAGGCCCAGCCCTCTCCCAGATACATGGGAGGCCGGGCAGTCTGTCAAACACTGACTGAAAGCAGAAACTGAGCTCTTTGCCCCTTGCTCTCATGAGTTGACCAGTCATTGTGTTCTGCAGGGCTGTGCTCAAGTGAGAAAGATGAACTTCAGAGCTGCACATGGAGCCATGGCTGACGGAGGGGAAACACATGCAAAGGCACGAGGCCGAGGGAGGCTGCCACTAATCATTTCCTTATTTCCCTGTTCAGGGGAAGAAAGGAACAAAGGCCAGGGCCCCAGCCAGGAACTCCCAAGTTCTTATTCCCAGCTCTGACATGTTGACTCTCCCAGGCAAATCACTTTTACTCTTCAGACTGAATTTCCCTTTCTTCTAAATTGGGCTCAGTCCATTTATTCACTTCTGGTGTTTTGTGCAAATGGATTGGAAAGTATTTGAAGTCCAAATATATCCAAGTGGCTTTAGGGCTGAAATCAGATTCTCAAAAGGGAGATGAAAGGGACTCTACACCTACAGAGTCCTGTTACTGTGTTAGTTTCCCCAGTGAGTTCACAGAAACAAACACCTTCCTGAAGCTCCATGGACTGAGGGCTGACTCCATAAAGTGGCTGAAATATCAGGCACTTTATATCAGGCATCCTCTGGCATCTGAGCCCAGACCTCCAGCATACTGGATTTGTGTAACTGGTACTTGGCTGCTGTCAGGTCCTGAGGGATTTGGAGCCCCAAGGGCCCTGCATTCCTGCTCTTGGCCCCACAGTGTTCCTAAACACTCCTGGCATTCTCCTGGCTGCCTGTGTGCAGACAACAGGGTGGTTGTCATTTCAGAGCACATCTAATGCACTTGGAAGACCTCTGTGATTAGAAAATAATGATGATGTTGGGAAAGCCAGGTTGGAATCTCTGCCTCTCTCCTTGAATTGGGGCAAGAATGCCTTCCAGTTTTATCGTAAGTTGGCTGCTAGGCCATGGACTAACTCCACTCCTACTGAAATAAATCTGAATCCTGGGTGTCTCTCAAGAGTGTCCCCCTGACCAGGCATTCCCTTTGCAAGCCTCAGATGTCCAGTGATTGCTGTGGAGTGGAAGAAGCTCATCCAGAGAACCTTGACCTGCTTTGTCAAACATCTCTTGCACAAGATTGTCAGGAAAAGATTTTCTGCTGGATGGTGGAAAGGCCCTTTTGCTCAGCTCTCATGGATGAGGCTCAAGCACCACCTTATTGGGCATTGCAATGAACTTATCTGGTTCAGACCCCCTAACTGAGAAGAAGAAAATCCATCAGAGTGCAGGACACTTAGTTAGGTGTTTAATTCTTAACACCCTTTAGATATTTAATATTTGTTCTTCCCCTTATTACAAGGAGATTTGCAGGGAAAATATCTTGGGAAAGACTAATCATGTACACTGCATCTCATGTCTTCTCTCTCAGAAACAGAATATTACATCTATTTACTGTAAATTAAAACTCAAGTATTTTCCAGTGCATTTTTCCAAGACATATTGGCTGAATTTTCTAATTTTATTAGGCTAATGGTACAATAAGCAAAGAAATAAGTTTTGCCTTCAATTAAAATAAAATAATACAATAAAAACAAAATCCAGGAAGGAAAAATTACAGTGACATAAGCACATTTTATTCTGGTGTGTGCTGAACAGGTCAGCAAAAACTGTACTAAGAAATCATATATTGTTTTTAAAGTGAAGCCAGAGCCATACAGGGGAAACTGGGGAAAGTTTCAGGCAGAAGTGAGCAGTCCTTAAGAGCAAGGGAAATACATGCATTCAACAGACAAATGGAAAAGTGCTTTCTATAAACTATTTCTTTAATCATGGAAGAATGTCCTCAGGCTATCTCTACTTGCTCTAATAAAGCTTCCTGTTTAGCATTACAGAGTGCTTTCTTATGTTTTGCTGTTACCTTGGAGCTTTTGAATATTTAGCTTATTTCTTTAAACCATTTGTGGCCCTCCTCCACGGAGTTTTCCTGGGCATTTGCTGAGTGCTTTAGCTGGAAAGAAGATCATATGAGTGTCGCAGACATCTTTCAGGAAAACTCCTTTCCTTAGGATTTTTCCTCCTGAGAAGCTGAGAGGCCTCAGGAACAAAATGTAAACAATGATTATCTGCTGCTGTGGAATGCAACAGGTGGATCTGTGATTGGGCTCATAAAGTTGTTTGTAATTAATGGCCAATCACAGCCCAGCTGGCTCGGGCTCTGTGTCCAAGCCACAAACGTTTATTATCATTCCTTTCTATTCTTAGCTAAGCCTTCTGATGAAACCTTTTCTTCTATTCTTTTAGTATAGTTTTAATGTAATATATATCATTAAATAATAAATCAAGCCTTCTGAAACATGGAGTCAGATCCTCATCTCTTCCCTCATCCAAGAACTCCTGTGAACACCGTCCCATATGAGTTGCAGCTATCCTGATGCTACCATGGACCAAGGCAAAAAACTTCTAAGAAAGTTTGTAAAAACAATGCCTTTGAAACAGTAAATGTAATAGAATTAAACCAAAAGAGTAAATAAGAGAGTTACCACTGCAGTTAACTCCGTCAGCTTCCAGTTCATAGCCAGGTTCACAGCGGCAGAGAAAAGAGCCATAAGTGTTGACACAGGTCTGAGTGCAAGGGTTTTCACTTGTACATTCATTCACATCTATGGGAAAACAATGCCAAATTCATCAGTGACTTCTCCCCAAACTCCATTTTCATTTTTTTTTTCTGCAGAGCATTTCAAAGAGATTAGCTGTACAGTCAGAACGATTTGTTCCGAAAAAATATAACAAGGTCAGTGTTGTTTATTTGGATGTTTATTTGTTGATGCCTGCGAATAGCATGTTGGACACAACATGTGTGGAAGTGAAGCATTTTGGGAATGACTTCAATTAAAACATAACACGGAAGATGAGGATGAATTTTTTATTATAAATGTTTCTGTCCTTGTCCTGCAATTTGAAAACCATTGAACCAATATTATCACAACAGATCTGAGAAAAAAGCAGCAGGATCTTCCTAAGAAAGATAATGCAATGATGAGGAGTCCTATGGAAGCCTTGGGCTAAGGCAGTCTTTTTTTCCCTTGTAGGACATTAACAACTTCTGGTCATCATGAGCACAGACCTTCTCCTGCATCATGTGGGAAGATGCTCTCTGCTTTGCTAGGGAGAGACTGTGAAGGGGTTGTGTTGACTTTGAGGTAGCACAGCACAGCAAAAGGTGGTCTAATGCTTAGGACTCCAGTCTGGAACCTTGGAGACTCTGATTTACTGATCTGACAAAGGTTTCCTGTCTCAGTCGGGTCACACAACCTCACATTTTAATAATAAATTCAGTGCCTGAACACTTGGTAATTCCACTGAATTGAGTGAATTGAGGTTTGGGCCTCTGTGCATATTTCTCCTGATACACCAGTGCTGTTGCACCTGTACCCCTTTGAGGTACTGTGAAACTGCAGAAATATCTGTCTGACTGACCTGTGAACATTTCTAACAGCAATGCTGGGAAGGTCACTTGTGTTCTGAAAACCAAGCAAGTCTTAAGGGTGTGGCTGAGGGGGGACCAAAGATTTCAGGCCTGGTTCACCCTACCCTTACCTTGGCAGGATCTCCCATCGTCGTTGAGGGTGAAGCCGGGGTTGCAGGTGCAGGAGTAGGAGCCGGGCACGTTGGCACACAGCTGCTGGCAGTACCCATAGCGACATTCGTCTATGTCTGCGGGGAAAAGGAGGGAAACTGGAGTGCTCTGCATCTCCTCATGGCAGACAAAGCAGCCAGCACACTGAGCCAGCAGTGCTGATAACACAGAAATTCCCCAGCACACTGGTCATGGTGTCACAGCCAAACTTCCAGGCGTTCAGACATGGAGTTAGAGTTGAAATGTACCTGTCCCCAGGAGAATGTGGTAATGTGGTGTTATCCATATCTGGCATCTACCAGTGTTTCTGATGAATTGATTGGCATTGCTGTAACCTTCAGTTTAAATCAGGCTGCCCAGTTTGTTCCTTTAAGCAGCTCCCTCAAAGGATACCTGGCTGCCAGCACAACCACAGCCAACATTGCAGCGAAATTTTGGCAGAATCAAAATAGAAACCTTCTTTGCCTCCACATATACCAAAGCTGCTCACTGGAACAGCAGTGTTTGTTACTACAGTCTTCTTTTTTGAGTGAGGATATTTTTGAAAGATTTTTTTCCAAATAGTCACATTCTCTTTTTATATGAATTTTTAACTGACAAATTACAGACTGTGTAAACAGTTCGTTTAATGCCAAAATAGCAGTTTGGGCTGAATTGCAGCATTGGCAGTGCATGCAACTGAGTGCTATGAGCACAAGAAAATGCTCTAAGACATGTAAGATGGTAAGTGCTAGAAGATTTTTGCCTCAGAACTAAAAACTAAAATGAAACACCTGCAATAGCTGTCCTTTCAAAGCCTTAACATTTCCTTTGGTATCAACCAGCTTTTGATTATTGGAGATTTTTTTAAATGGCTGTGTTAAAGCTTTGAAGCTAAATTTATGCCACAGAAAACCCAGAATATTATATGCAATCAGCAAGATAACTTAAAGGTCAGATCAGATGCGATGAGTATACCAGCAGCAGGCTGCAACAAATCCTGCAAAAATAACATAGATTTTAAGTAAATTAACACCTCATTCACTGGCACAGTGCATTACATGAAGTTCATGCTTTGTCTTTTCAGGACTGTTATCTCAAGAGTGCTACATTTTGAGGATAAGGACTTGTACAGGGCTGCTTCTTGTGGGTGGGTCATGTGGATATGCTGCACTGGCTTCTCTGTGTAAACTGTACAGGATAATTGCAACAGATAGAAGTGTAGGCTTTTGTAATGGTGATTTACCAACAGTAATTGGTAATTTCACTGAATTCCACTGCACTAATAACAGTGCCCAAAAAAATTTGTCTCTAAACCCCAACTTGGCCCTCTGATTACAGTAAGTATTGCTTTACTGCTTTATGGCAGCAAAGATCACTTCTCCAAAGCCAGTATAAAGTATGGAAAAGTGAGACTTCTTTGAAATTTAGGGGAAAATATAGCAATTCTAAACACAATTTGCTTTTCCTTTTTCACATTGCCTTGCAATAATCCATCCCATGGTTACTTAAATAGGGCAATACTGGGATGTTATTCCCTATTTTAGAAAGCATGAGCAGGTACTCAAATCAATTCATCAATGCAGCCATTTCACTTCTCTGCTATAACCATCATGCAGAAGAGTATTTTAGATCTGTGTTCAAATCCTGAATGCTGCACCCAACCCTTTCATTTGGCCTGTAACTGGGAGAAGTACATCGGTAACAGAACAGGTGATGCAGAGCAGAGTCTGCCTTCCTTCCCTCCCTCATCCCCATCCTACCACACATGCCTGTACATTCCCCAGCACAAGCTTTGAGAAGTTCATTTATCACAGATTAAGGAGCAGGGGCCTTGGAGACTTCTTATCCCAGGGGAACTGCAAGACAGTGACTCCCTGAGGAGGCTGTGGTTGCACAGACCCCAGCTTGGACAGGGCTCAGCCTGGTGCCTGCCAGGTGAATTTCACAGCAGCAGTTAGGAAAGCAGCCAGGAATTCATGGAATTGGTACTTGGGAGGAGAAAGCTGGAAAATAACTGGAGATGCTCCAGGGACAAATGGGCAGGGAAAGCCCATTCTCCTTCCAGTGGAGATGTGACAGGATGGTCCAGCTCTGCAGAGCTGGCATCAAACAGCCTGCACTGCAGGGAAAGAACTAATAATGGGTAAATTTTCTTAAAAAAAAGTTGTATGCTGACTCCTAGGTCCTACCTGTGTACCTAAGATTAATGTCTACATCATCATCCCATGTGTATGTCAGGTGAGGGGAAAGGGCTGGAGGAGAGGAGGGATGGAAGCTTTGTTTTCCTGTGCTGTTTGCTGAGCAATGTTTTTTCAACACGACTGAGCTAAAAGGATGAACAGGGTATTGCTGCAAGGAAAATAATAAAATTGAAATAAAATTGCATGGAAGGTTGTGAAATGGCACCCAGTTCAGAGGTAATTTTTTTCTTACCCCCAAACAAAAGAATTGGTTGGCTTGGGAGTTACTGTCATTCCCATTTCTTGGTATCAGATATGGATCCCTTCAGGTCCACCCTGTCACAATAACAAAAGCACAAGTCTGTTTGGGCAAAAATCTTTGTGCACACATGCTTGCAATTGATCTTACATGAAAGGGAATCCTTCAGACTGGAAATACGAAAAGCCCAGTTATGACACTACTATGATGCTAGTCATATGGCATTTCCAGCTACAGTTTTGTTCCATGGGGGAGTCTCTCTGCCAAACACCTCATTGGCACTTTCAGAGACAAAAGAGTTTCCACATAGCTGAAGGTTTAACTGTGTCCTTGGCAAAAGTGCTTAGTGACTTTAATTCAGGGAGCCCCAGGTACACATATACTCAGATACTGTAGCAATTGAGGATTTTACCTAAACACTGGCCTTCTAACAGCCAGTAGCCTTCAGTGCAGGAGCAGGTGTAGCCCCCTTCAGTATTTATGCAGATCTGGGTGGGGTTACACTGGTGAGAATCTGAAGCACATTCATCCACATCTGCAACACAGAAATACAGAAGGAAAATATTAGAAATGGCAACAACAAAAGATTGTTCATATTGAACAGTGTGTACACTGCCTCTGTGCAAGGAAGCAGAGTTTGGAGGAGTAGAGAGAATGACCATAACCTGAAGGAAAATCACACTAATAAATGTCTGAGGGCAGTGAGAACTGAGAATGCACATCAAATCTCAGTTTTGCAGGTGACCCAGTATTTTCTCCTCAAGGAAAGTCTCTCATTATCTCAAACTTTTTGTAACTTCCACATTTGCTGTCACTGAGCTGGGATTTCCATGCTATAGAGCAGTGTTCAGTCCTGGGGAGAGGCTGCTGAAAGGGTTGTGCAACTCCATTTAAAAGTAAGAGATGAAGGAGAGTTTGAGAGATGTACAAACACAACTCAGAGACATAAAAAAAATACTTCCTACCCCCACCAATGCAGACCATCTCACTGTAATTTTTCAGACACAAAGTTCAACCAAAAATCAACCTTTACCTGACCAAAAAAATGTATACTTCCCTGGAATCAATTTCCTGACAATAGTACTATTTTCTTTTAATTTCCACCCCCCCACCTCGCCATCTTTACTGGGTTTAATGTATTTGGGTTTTTATTGCAATCCCTTAGGGTGTTTTTGTTGTGGGCTTTTTTTTTTTCCCCCCTTTTTTTTGCAAGGGAGGTGAATAGCATTCTTACATTTATATAAGCCAGGACCCTGGAACCTAACTGATTAAAAATGCCTTTCAGAGTCAGAAATTCATTTTGAATCACGCCTTGCTCAATATCTTTCCTGATGTTTCAGGCATCAGGTTTGTCTCTAGATGTCAGAAATAGAAATGCCAAAAGATAAATTGTGTCATTTCCCCAGCCAACCTAAATTTTTATGTTTTATTTATTGATACCTTAACTATTTTTCATTCCAGCATACTGTGCACTGGCCTTTGCTGAAGCACTATGTCATCCTAGCAATGCTACTCCCTTGATCCTCCTCTGATTCTTATTAACCCAGACTTTGTTAGGTCATGACTGAAAGTGTCTCCCCAATGCCCCGGGCTGGAGCAGGCAGCAGAGGGCAGGAATTCCATGTCTGTGCCTGCCCCCAAGGCAGCAAGCGCAGCCAGTCAGCTGTACAACCCTAGCAGTCATGAAATAACTGATCCAGGCTACCACAGCAGCATATCTGACATGCTCAGATACATAAATAAATAAATACAAACATATTGTACATATGGAGGGAGTCTAGGGTTCTTATCTTGCCAATATCTGTATCAGAGCAATTTATGGTTAGTCAAAATTGATAAGATAACAAGAGGGGCACAATTAGAAGTAATTAACTCTGTCAGAATTTGGTTCCCATGTATTTATTGGCCAGATGAAGACTGACAAAATGGTGGGGGAAGTGGGGAAAGGGTGAGATAACAAGTCTAGACTATATAGGTCCATAAATATGTTGTTCAGTTCAGCTATTGCTTCTGTGATTGAGCTAAAAAATTTGTATCCTCCCTTCATAGCATATCACACATAATTGGTAGAATCTGAACAGAGATTTTATCTGACCATAAATTTAATAACAATGACATTAATGTTTTCTAAATGAAAAAGCTTTCTATTTGTCATGCTTGCTTATTGTTTTAGGAGTGGTACCTTGGGATCTGGCCAATTTTGCTTTTTCTTAGTCTGCACTAAGCTTAAAAAGGAGATTTTCATTTTCCATGTTCCCTGCTTCCAGTAATATTAATAGGTGAAGCAAAGTGGAAACAAAATGAGGGTCATGGTCTCACCACAAATGGTAGTAATGCAGTTTGAAGACAACAGATCCTCCACTCTTTTGTGGGGCATTTTTCTTGCAGGGATACAACGTCTTTCACTTAAGCAACAAGTGGCTATGGGATTGGTTTTGTTCCCAAATCATCCTTGTAGCAGCTGCTTGAGCTCCACTCCAGAGAAGTAAAACATTGATCCTCTTCCATTTGCTTTATAACAAGCAGATTTATTTGCTTACTCCCAGTCTTCACCTTTTGTGGTAGTATTTGGAAGCATATTTCCATTTAAACACAACATTTTTTACAATGAAGGCCTTCTGTGGAGTTTCTGCCAGAAAACCTGATGATCCTGAAGTTGTCTATGCAGAACACCTTGACTCATCACATTTTGCACTGAACAGTACCTCAGTGACTTCACTAAAGAAGCTTTATGCAACCAGCAGATGTAAACAGCTTTACTGGTAGCAGCAAATCTTTTTGGTTGGGCCTGAGGGAGCACACCAAGTTCTGTATTTCATGTCTGGCATTCTCTAAGATTGCCCCTTACCATGAGGTGCCATTAAACTCTTACTGACACAGCCAATACAATCAAATAAAGTATTTTTGGCAAGCAGCCTTCACAATTGAAACAGGTAGTATAATCCCAGGCCGTCTGCCCTGGGTTGATCCACATTATATGGGCTCACTGAGAGCAGATATTTGTGCACTAAAAAAACTATTGGTGCAACAGTTGGCCTGATGTTAGCTATCTTCTTAAAGGACATCAGACCTGGGAGACATAGGGTGTCATGCCCGTTTGCACAGTGCAGCATACAGTAAGAGCAGATGTGGTTGGTAAAGTCAAAACTAGACATTTGGCAGGAAAAATAAAAAAGAAAAACCAACAAACCCAAAGAATCCCAGATTATTTCCACTTGGGAGAAAACTAGTCGTAGAATTTCAAGAGATTGCCTATGGATAGACGTAGAAGTTCTGTCTTCTATGGATAGAGACATAGAAGTTCTATCTTCTATGGATAGACATAGAAGTTACATCAAAACAGTTCCCGGGCATTTTTGTTTGAATGAAAATTGCAAGAGGTTGCAAGTGGAACATGACAATCCGTGAATAAGGCATGAGTAATTTCTTTGTCTGGTTGCACAGCTTATTTCTGTCCCATTCAAGCATAAATCTTAGGTGTCTTCATGCTCTGGGACTTCAGAGCCCATATGTACTACCTCTGCCTCTGTGATGGGTCATACACAATACCTGAGCAATCTAATTGCACATGATTATAGATTTTCAATAGTTTTGTAGGTTCAAAGCAGATAAGACAAATTCAGAGAATAAAAAACTGTGAGGCCTACTCAATGTAAGGATAGCACAAGTGGCTAAGAAATCCCTGAGGTGCATTATCCTGAAGTTTGGAAGAGTATGTCTGACACAGCACAACTTATGTCACAGTCTTCACCATGGACAGAAACACTGCAGTGAGTTGTCAGCTGAGCCCCAAGGTAAAGTCTAATCAGATGGAAAGCAGAAGAGTTATTAAAGGGCAGCATGCTAGCAAGAAACCCTAGAAACCCCACTGCCCTCCATTCAAGATGTTAACAAAGTGTGATATTTGATGATCTCAGTGCCATGAAAGCATCAGATGCTGTCACCTATCACTGATAAACCAAGGATGGTTTTCATTATACCAAACCTGCTTTTAGTATCTTTCATCACCAAGATCCTTAGAAAATCTTACCTGCATCCAAACAACGTCTAGTCTTTAATAATAGCTACTGTTAAGGGATACCTCATGTGATTTTGGCTAGATGACTCAGTATGTGGCAACAGAGAAAAGTTGCTGTGAGGTGGACTGGGAAGAAAATACAAATTAGATCTGTCCTCAGAGAAGATAAGGTACCTGGTGGTTACTGTGCTGGACGAGCCAGCACAGATACACTGGCCACACTGTAGCTCATGGGCTGAGAATTTATCTTTTGGGAACTCTTCATTGCTTTTCATCTTCCATCACCCTGCTTCCTTTTTGGAAAGCAAGGATTACAAAATCCATGAAAATCCATTATCTCTGCTATAGTCCAGTCTCCCTCACTGTTTAGCACCTAAAACTCTTCAGGATAGGGCATTTTACAAAACAGAAACAGGAGCAGGTGACAGACCTTTCTGTCTTGTAGTCTCTCATGTACAAGCTGCATCTATTATTATGAACATTTCAAGATACCACTTTTTCAGAAATTTTGTGCAGACTGTACATTGGCTAGTGAGATGTAAAATAAAAGATTAACCATCATTGTTTTCTACTAAAGGACCTTGGAAGCAGCAAAGTTTCTTTCAGCTAAATTCTATGGAATGTTGCTGTTCCACCCTAATATTGCATGGAACCTCAAAGATTCCCGTAGTTACTGAAGCAGGAAGAGAATTATTGATGTAACATACGGCAAGTTAAAAGAGTAATCTGGCTTTCATACCTCTTCCTACCCTGACAGACAGGACTGTGAGTGTTGCTGTGAAATTGCATATGAAAAAAGTGAGGATGTTAAAGGTTGTCATACCTAATAATTTTGAACAAATTCAGATTTTTCCAAATGACTAGTGGCTCTGGGTGACTCCTTTGAGACAGCAGTTGTTCAGCACACTAGAGAACCAAGGCAGGATAGATGGATCACTGTTCAAAACTTCTCTTGCCAAGGAATGCTTGGCCAAAGCTGGTTCTAGTTGTTTCAGCTCTTGGGCATCCTGCTGTGTGCTATTAAATTAGTGGTCATTGATATTCTCTCACCCATCCTTCCAGTTGTTGTATTCACATTACTGCTCCCACAGCTAATTCCAAAGGCAGAAGTTTGGGCAGGACTCCAGACAAATTAAAATCTGACTTGAAGTGGGAACGATTTACTTTGTTAGTTCCCAGATGAGCACTGAGAGCAACCACATGGCCTGTGCAGACCACTGCTCTGTGCCTCCTAAGAAATACCACCTACAATGAACAGAGCCTCGTGGCTGTGAGCCATGAGATTTAGAGATCTCTGGGTTACTGACAGAAGGAGAGAAGAGCTACAGGGCATCTCCATATCCCTTTGTAAGGATACATGGGCTGAAAGAGCCGAAGTCTGAACACTCCAAAATGAACCACATGCCTCTCTCTTAGGTCAGTGTGTTTGCATTAAAAATTATGGCTGTGGTGCTTTGGTTTAGCAGCTCTGGGGTGTGATGTTGTCTTTACTTGACATTTTGACAAGAGGTGAGGTG